AATTCTTTGCTCAGGAATGATGGCTTTTGCTATTGGAGAGAATTTCTTCACATGCTGTTACCTGTCACATAACTGAGAGATCTAGTTTCTATTAGTAGGTTTCCATGATGCAATAGAGTAAGTAGTATCTTTATTCTTGATATAATACTTTGGTGCTTACAACCTGGAACAAAACTATACAGTGAGGGTGGCCAAAAAATCTATGTACTTAACTTTCAAAAATTTCTGGTGATGACAGTTGTATTGTTGCTACTAAGCGGCATAATGGTCTATTATGTGGTAGAAAAATATAGCCTGCCATTTTAAACTAACTGTATATCTTTTGAAAATACTGTCCCTTTTAACAGTATTTTTGACTTAGATTTTCCCTTACATCAATTTTTATGTTTTTGGTAACCTACTACATCTAACTCTAAATATTTGCTCTTTATTGGCATATATATATATATTATTGGTATATTATATATAATATATACAATATATATTGGCAGATTATATTTAGGCAGTGTATATATATATATATGTATATATATATATATATACATATATATATATACACATACATATCCTTTAAACATTTGTTTTTATTTTATCAGATTATTACCAAACTAAAACTTCCTGTTATAGCAAGTGTCTCATTTTTCACTGTAAGGTCTGCATTTAAATACTTAGTTTGAACAGCTCCAAAATATTGGCAATTGGGCCACCGAAAACGATTTTAGAGATCTAAGCATTCCTGTTCATTTCTGTTAATTGAAGACATTCTGTAAGTTGGCAAAAGAAACTGAGAGGGAAATGGAAGGCTTACTATTCAGGACAGCATTGAGGTTGATAGGCTGAGAGAATGATAAAACTAAGACCCCCATTGTGCCATGACTGACACTGGGGTATCTTTATTGGGTTGACCAGTAGGGAGGCATTCTGTTAGCACAAGGAGTGGCAGATTTAAACTACCAGTGCTGTACATTTTGGTGAATTATGCAGAAAAGAAATTGTATCCCTGAATTTGAAGGTGATGGGGTGGGTCCAGAAAGGATGGCGCCAGAATTCTACATGATGATGAACCAAAAACTGTTGCTTTTCAGAGGAAGATTAAAAAAAAAAAAAAAAAAAGCATCTGCTTTGGTGGGGGAGTGAATCATGTGAATCTTAAATCCATAAAATAAAGACTAGCCACTGTCCAGCACCACCCCTAGAGTACTAAACAGAATCATCCTTTGTTAATGACAGCTATGGAGAAGATGTCGCCACCCTGCTCCCAGATTTAAAACACAGCAAAACAAAATTCCACAATTGCCTGGCAGTTAAAAGAAAGTATCTTTTTTTTTTGCTCCCAGTACTGGGGATCGATCTCTGGACCTTGCTCTTGCAAGACAGGTGTGGTGCTGCTGAGCTAAATTCCTGGCCCAAAAGGAAGTATCATTTAAAATCTGAGGAGCAGCTTTTTCATGTCAAATTTGTACTGGTAAGGAGTTTGCATTGTAAGAAAAAGCAAACAAATTCAAAATATCTATAGCAAACAAGGAAAAAACATGATGGCTGGGCTTTGTGTCATTTTTATTCCATTACAAAAATATATGCTGGGCCTTGAGAATAGAGCAGAACCGGAACTGGTGCAGAGCATATTTCTTTGCTTTTGCAGGCCATGTGGTAGAACATGATCACTTATAACTCTGGAATTTATACAAGTGCAAGCACCCAGGAAGGGACTACGCTCTTCCCTCTGGTATTAATTCCAAATTCCCCGAGTGGTGGTGAGGGAGCTGTCTTAGTTTGATAAGTCCTTTAAGACCTATCACCAGTGGACAGGGGCAGGTTCACACACTCCAGGAAACCACTACTAAAACCAAATAACGAGATGATTCCTCCAAAGAGGTGCTAGGTGGACAATTTGAAATGTGTCCACCACAGATGTGACACATTGCAGTCTTGGAGGGAGTTGGACATGATGACTTTCAAATTATGTACCTATGATCTTACTAACTGGCTTGAGTTTTTCTTTTCACTTGGATACACTGCTTGCCTCCCCTTCTCTGACAATTTCTATTTTTTCAGGATTTGATTCAAAATTAACTTTGATCAATGAATGAATCCTCTCCATCTAACTCTATTCTGCATCTCATGTCCTCATCACTTGGGTATATACTGTTTATATTATTATTTGAAGCTAATACATACAGTTATGTGTTTTTTTTCATTGATGGATATTATTTCTTTCTAGACTGACACAGTCTTAACTGCTTTGCATGGGATTCCTACAGCTAAATCTTCACAGAAAATCAACTCGTGACCCAACAATTATAAAATACATGAGGAACAATGTACCACAGCAACATGGACACATATCAGAACTAGACTCAATTATTTCATGTGATTAAAATGACTGAATAAAATATAATTTGAAACTAGATTTAAAAATCAAGAAAGATCAGACAATGTGGAAATAATTAAGTAAAACTTACACATCAAAGTGCAGGCAAATATTGGCTTAACAGGGACTAAATGGAGCTGAAAAGAGAATTAATGACAAGAAAACAAATCTGAGGAAATTACAAAGACCAGCAAAATAGACAAGAATATGAGATTATGAAGTATAGGGTCTACCCTTCTAAGGCAGAATAAGTTGAAGTGATTTATATAGACATTTCTCCCTTCAAGGACATAAAGCATAACTCTTCCATTACTGGCTATATGTAGTGACTTCAAAGAAGACAGGATGGAGAGAAGAAAGTAACTCTATAGAGGGCCTCAAAGGGCTGGGGATGAGCTCAGCACTAGAAAACTTGCCTAGGAGTGAAAGGCCCGGGGTTCAATCCCAGAAAAAAAAAAAAAAATATATATATATATATATATATTATATATATTTCCAAAAAAAGACTGTGTCTGTAATGAACATGTACAGATTTTTGTCATTTCCTAAACAATACAGTGTAACAACTATTTACACAGCATTTACATTGCCTTAGGTATTATAAATAACCTAGAGAAGACTTAAAGTATACAGGAGGACGTGCTTAGGTTATAGGCCAATATTATGTCATTTTATATAAATGATTTGATCAAGGATTTTGATCCTTGGTGGAAGGGGGTTCCTGAAATCAGATCCCCAAGGATACTGGGGCAGCTATACTACAACCTAACCTAATGTATCCTGATTATTGTTGTACCAAGATGGCAGTGCTTGCAGTAGTGGTCTACTACAAGCCTCCCTATCTACTACTCCCCCATCTACTGCTACTCCCCTGATAGAGGAGGTTATATTGTACAGAATTTAAAGACAATAATACAGCTAACTACTTTTTTTTTTTAACCACATGTACTGGAAATTCTAAACAAGGTTACTAATAAAATATTCTTCTCTGATGCATCAGGCTGCTACAGTCACTCTCCTTCAAATCCCATACCACTGACCTTGACTAATAGAATTGGTAAGTAAGTATTGACTAATTGAAAAATACAAATTCTTGTTTTTAAAAAGTAAAATAAAAATATTTAACAATAACAGGAAAGAAGAAAGGGTAATTAATAGGTAAAGTGTGCCAAGGTTTTTGTCTTGGTTAGGACAAACCTTAACGGGCAAATGAAAAGGGACTATAGACTGGAGTGTGATAAAACAGTAATGTGATTTTTACTCATGTTTACTCATTTGGTTTACTGTGTTTGAGTGCTCATTTATATCATCTGGCCTTAAATAAATGGGGCCGTTTGGCTTGTTTCCACCTCTAGAAACTCTCATTGCCTTTCTTAGAACTTTCTATTGTTCCTCACAATGCAGTCACCAAAGGTCCTTTAAAAATGCTGCAGTTCCGGTACATCCACAGATGAGACTTTGCCCCATTTGACATGATCTGATAACCAGGCCCTTAAAAAGAAAATAAAGCAAAAGGAAAGGAGCCATCTCCCCACACTGAACCTTGATCTTACATAAGGCTTCCTAGCTTCATTTCTTGGGGGAAGGGGAAGAATTCAGGTTTCCTGGGAATCATTGCCTTTCAGTCTTCCTCACACAGGTCAATTCAAAGACATCCTGGGATGGAAAATTACGTTCTCTTTCTTTTTTGTTTGTGAGGGAGACGGAGAGATGGTGGAGGATTCCAGTTATAACTTTGTATCTAAGGACATTTCTTCTTTCTTATTTTGTGCGGTACGGCAGATCAAACTCAGGACCTTGCGCTTGCGAGGCAGGCGCGGAGCCACTGAGCCCCGGCCCACGACATTTCTAACTTTAAGAAAACACAGGATGCTGGTGCCAGTTACAAAGTCGCCCTGATTTATGAAAAGTTTCACTACAGTTTTTCTTTTAATTAGACATCCACTTCTTTACAGTTTCCCCATTGCATCTTAAGAAAATACTTACAAATTTCAAGAGTCCTTCTACTTCATAAAGCAAATTAGTTTTTACAAAGTAGTAACTCAGGAAAATTGGAAAATAAAATATTAAAAAAATAATCATCTGTAATCCCAGGGCTAACACTGTGGTCACCAAGCAGTTGCATTTCCTTGCAGTCTTGCCAACACCATTCGTGCACACAGCGGATGCAGCCGGGTCTTTAAAGCACAAGTCTTTAACACAAGTTCCCAGGCGCGAGGCGTGGGCACCCCGCGCTGGCAGCGGCTTCTGCAGATCGCCTGCCCGGAGACCAGCGCGGAATTACCACAGGCTCCAGAGACGCTCCTTCCTTTCCCCGACACTTCCCAGTGTCCACCGCAAATAATCTCTTCAGCATCTAGTTCACTTCAGCCCGCTCACATCCCGCTACAAAACAAAACTCAAAAGCCCTCTTCCGAGGGAGTCCAGCCTCGGGCCTGGGAGGCAGAAAACTCCCCTAACAGACCCCTGGGGCGAACACACTCTCGGCGCGCGCTCCCGCTGGGCGCGGTCCCCGGCTCCGCCCCCGGCCGCGCACCCGCCCCCTCGGGCGGAGACGCGCAAGGGAAAGCGCGCGGCCGCGGGCCCCGGTCGCCATTTTGGATTCGGTCTTTGGGCCGAGGCGTAGGCGATTGACACCTTGGCCGTAGCTCGCGGAGGGACTCTCTGGCTGCGAGGGCAAGTGCAGCACGGCGACGCAGACCGCGCAGGACTGAGAAGGAGGGTTTCTCCCTGGGCAGCCAGAGCCGCAAAGGTGGAGCCGCGTTGGCGCCCGCCGCGGGACCAGCGCCTCGGATGCGGGCGGAGCGCGGGGGGCCGCGGCGGCGGGGGCGCGAAGCGGGGGCCCAGGGGGCCCTCATGTGAGAGCCGCGGGACCAGCCGCCGCCGTCCCCGGAGCCCGGGGTGGTGTGTGGGGGACACCGACCCCGGCAGCAGGTAACCGCGGAGGGGCGGGGCTGGAGCCCGGCGGAGCGGCGGGCCGGGAGGGTCGCGGCCGGTTGGGGGCCGGCGGGGGCGGGGGGAGCGGCTCCGGAACGCGGGCGGGAGGCCCACGAGGCGCGGCGCCCAGAACTGGGCGCTTCTTGGGGGCGTTTCCCGCTGTGCCTACTGCGAAACATGTCAACAAGGCGTGGTGCGTGACAGGCTCCGCGGAGCTCGCCCGGGCGTCGCCGGCGCGGGTGTGGGTAGCTTGAGCGTCGGGAGGCGCTGGGATATCAAAACAAACTGCCTAGGTTAGGGCGCCCGAGAAGGTCAAGGAAGGCCAATCCGTGGAGGTGGCGCGGGCTGGAGGAGACGCCCCCGCCGCGTAGCCTAGTGGAAAACTTGGTCAACTTGTGATGAGCAGCTTCGCGCTTGCTTTGGGCGTGTGCAGCCGTTGAGGCGGAGTTGTAGGCAGGGATCGGGAAGCAGCCCTGTCAGTGACCTGCACTTCCAAGCCGAGAAGTGAAAGAGCGTAATTTGTTGTTATTGGTATCCAGTCAACTCTGATCTTTTAGATTGTTTTTTGGGGGGTGGGGGGGGATGCTGATTTCGATTACCCTTGAACTATGTATAAAAATGGGATCCACTCCTAGTTATCTGTCTGTGACTCCGGGACAAGTTTTCTCCACAACGTTACCGCTACCGTTCTGTGAATTAGTCTGTTGTTGTGGTCGTGTATTTCAGACAAAGAATGCACATTAACTCTTATATTAACGCAGAACATACAAAGGACATAAAGGAATTATAATGCCAAAGCAGTACCATTAGTGCTAAGTACAAATGAGCTTTTAAAATTACTACATGCCCAGTGTACATACAAGTGCCTAATACGTTGAGTGACACCCAACTATTCTGTTCTTGAGCAGTAATCAAGTTAATTCCTTGTAGAAATGTCAAATTAGCTCACTTAACTCCTTGTGGTGCTCAGTCTAGTTTTTCCTCATCAGTTTGCTTTTGGCATTTGCTAATATCACCAAAAGCTCTTGCTCATGAAGTTGCATTATTTGTGGCCCTGAAATATTGCAGAAAATTAAACTGCCAGAGTCCTAGAGGCCAGGTTTTGGTGCTTAAGAAAGTCTCATTGACCCTTACTGTCAGGTTGGCGCTCCATTCTTCTGTTCCTATATAAAAGATATTTTCACTTTGACTGAAAGTAAGAGATACAAAAGTCCATTGGTGTAGGTTATTTGCAGATAAGTGGATGCTCTGAATTGTTTAACTTTCCATACAGCAGAGCTTCATGTGTAAATAGATCTAATAAAATTTATGCTTTTGAAAGCATTGGAGGGTTTGACATAAGTGAGACTGATTTGGAAAAAATTGATAAAAATTTTTATTAGATGTCTACTCATTAATGTTATTTTGATGAATGAGGAGAATACAGGTAACATTTCTGTTGGCATTTTGCCTTACATGTTTTTTATTGCTTAATATACTATATGACTATACCATATGTCATAATATATATGATAGTTCACAGGCTTTTGTTCAGCTATTCATAAACCAGTTAGTGCTAAAAATTCACCTTGGTGATCGAATAGTCTTTTATTTAAATCAAGAGATACTTTATCTTAGTATTACATACTTATATTTAAAATACCAATTTATACTTAAAATACTTATTTAAAAATACCAGGCCAGGTGTGGTGTCACACATCTATAATCCCAGCATTCAGGAGGATGAGGCAGAAGGATTGCTCTGAGTTTGAGGCCAGCCTAGGCTACATAGTGAATTCAGGTCCGCCAGAACTGCATAGCAAGACCCTGTCTCAAAAGAACCAACTTTGGGCCAAGGATGTAGCTCATTGCTGCCTCACCTGCCTGGCAAGCACAAGGTCCTGAGTTCAATTCCGAGTACCTGAAAAAAAAACAAACAAACTTCATTTCCTGACTTTGGAAAGGTATTGAAATAACTTTATTTAAAATAGGACTGAGGGCTGGGGAATTAGCTCAGTGGTTACGCCACCTGCCTCGCAAGCACAAGGACCCGAGTTTGATCCCTGGTACCAAAAAACCCTCAAAAACAACAAAAAAATAGGACTGTGATAGATAAAAGAAACTTTATATTACCAGTTTTAACAACCAGCAAAGTATTATCTCAAATTTTATTATTTTGTGAATAAGTCTGACATTTTATTTTTATGTATCCTTATACTGTACTTTATTAAATTAAAAAGAGCTATTCCGTCTTTAAGTTTAGTAGTTCTGATTTTAGAAGATCTCTCCAAAAAGAAGAATCAGTATTCTATAATAAAATGTAGAAATTCTGAAGACTACTTTCTTTTTGAATCTTTATAAAAATTCCACATAATTTTATATACTCAAAAGAGAAATTATAAACTTTGGGTAGCAAACTCTGTTCTTCGACCCAAATTGTGTATGCTAAAATTAAAGTTAGCTTTCAAGATTAGTCAAAAAATGGGTTATAGTGACAAAGTGTTAATCTCTAGTTGGACAATATTATTAGAGTTTTTCATGATACAGATTACACTGTAGAATGATTATGCTACCTTTTCTCTGAATATACTTCTTAGGAACTCTGTTCCTAGATTGACATGTAAGTTTTAGTCTTCCAAAAAACTATCCTTTTGCTTTCTTTTGTCAGTCTTCTATGTTTCTCTCCCACTGCTCAATAGGATATACATAAAAGTGAGAAGTAGGAGCCTTGAGGAATAAGCAGTTTAGTGTGCATAGGCTAAGACCTCCTGGACTTATCTTCATGGCATGAAGGCCACTGGACTGCCATGCTGTTTTTGCTCTTCAGTCCCCAATCCTTTCTCACAAGTTATGCTAGCTAATGGGTGGGGAAAGTCTGCAGGGACATACTTTATTTAGTTATGCTCAGACATGTCGTTCGTCTCAAGTCCTTACATGCTGATTTGCCAGAAGTAAGTTGATGTTACAAGCCAGCTTTTTGAAAGGTGATGACCCCAAATCTAGGTCCAAACCACTACTCTGACAGAACTGCTCTCTGTAAACAAAAGTGTTGCAAGCCCTAATGTAAATAGGAGTACTAATGAGTATCTGCCCATTTAGAACCCATTGTACTTAGCCAGGTAACTAAACAGGACTTCTTTTATCTGATTATGTTTAATGTAATGCATTAACATTAAAAAGAATGTGCAAAATGTAAAAGAGAAAGCACACTGGGAAAAAGTCACCTGTGATCTCACCACCCATTGTTAAATATTATAATAAATTGATGGATTCCCTCTCTTCTTTTCCCTTCCTCTTCTGGCAGTGCTAAGGGTGGAACCCAGCTCCTGGCATTCTACCACTGAGTTATATCTCCAGCTGAGATTTGCTTACTTCAAGTACAGGTTGGAAATATCTAGCATAGCAGGTATCACAGACTACTTAGGAAAATCTGTTGGCTATGTAATTCACATCCCCTTTGGAGATTTTGGGGTAATCAATTTAAGAATGCAAATATAAGCTGTATTCAGTAGTGCACACCTGTAATCCCAGCACTGAGAGAGGCTGAGTCAGGAAGATCACAAGTTCAAACCCTAGCTGGGCATATTAACCAGACCCTGTCTCAAAAATTAAAAAGGGCTACAGATGTAGCTCAGTGGTAAAGCACTCCCATATTCAGTCAACAGTACCTCACACACAAAACACCCCTCAAATATAGTAGTTATCCTTAGATGACTTTTAAGAAACCTTTAGAAAATATCATTGTAGGTTCCTTATATCCACTTTAATTAGTGGACTGCAACCTTTGAAATAGAAATTTTTAATGTAGTTTTAAAATCATAAATAATATGGTATAAATGTAAATTTTTGCATGCCAGAAATGTATGGAATTTGTAAAAGTATAGCTGGTTTCCATTGGCATTTTTCACTATATTTTATTTTGGTATTCTTGAATTATTGGTCTAGTCTGTGCTTGTTTGTGTTTAAACCTAACAAATACACATCTCAATGACAGGAAACAAATTTTGGGTTTGTTTTTATTTAAAAGATAAGTAGAATGAAAAAAACGATGTGTTTTGATGGTTTTTTCTAAACAGAATGAAACGAGGAGGAAGAGATAGTGACCATAGTTCATCTGAAGAGGGTACTGCAGAGAAATCAAAGAAACTGAGGACTACAACAAATGAGCATTCTCAGATGTGTGACTGGGGTAATCTCCTTCAAGACATTATTCTCCAAATATTTAAATATTTGCCTCTTCTTGACCGGGCTCATGCTTCACAAGTTTGCCGCAACTGGAATCAGGTATTTCACATGCCTGACTTGTGGAGATGTTTTGAATTTGAACTGAATCAGCCAGCTACATCTTATTTGAAAGCTACACATCCAGAGTTGATCAAACAGATTATTAAAAGACATTCAAACCATCTACAGTATGTCAGCTTCAAGGTAATATTTTAAACCCTTCTTTTTAAAAGCAAAGCATTTTTAGTGGCTTTTGGCATCCTAACCAATGCATCTCATATCTTTAAAATATTTTCCTAAGGGAAAGTGCGTAACATGTTTCTGCTGGCTGGAACCACCAGTGGTTCAGAAGAGCCCCGTTGAAAACTTATTAAAAGAGTTAGAATTTAGCATATCTTAGATGCTATCACAAATAATTGTAATGTTTGTTGGAGCTAAATGACTCCATTATAATTATTAATAATTTCTTAAAAGACAAAAGCATCCACTAAATAAGCATAAACCATTGACCAAAGATGTAAATTAACAGTGAATTATTGCAAACAAATTTCTGGAAAAGAAATATACAGTAGAATATTAAAAATTTGGGATATTGTGGTTGAGGATATTACTGTTGAGTAAAACTTAACTGCAATTTCTATTTATAAGGGCTGAGAGTTACTTATTTTTCTGGCTTTTTGATATGCACTCTTCAAATAGAAATGTGGCATAGAAACTATTTGAAAGGATTAGAGGAATATGTTTTAGAGAAAATAAAGAATGGGTGGAAGAATGTGGTAGAGAACTGTTTGCTGCTTTTCTTTGCTGGAAGGAACATTTTGTATATCATATAATGATGTGATAAATAAAGTAGGGTGGGTTTTGAGATGTCCAGAATACTTTGAGAAATAGTGGTTTGAGTGTGAATATAGGCTTGTCATGTTCTGTTTGGAAATGAATGATGAAATATGGTCATGCTTACTAAAACTTTAAACATAAGATTTTTGTTGTACCAAAAAATTTGATAGTTGTTGAAAAGTGGCATTGCATGAATCCCTGCTTTATTGTACCAGTTGCTAAATGGGTCAGGTTAAACCTAAATAAAGCAGGAGTTCTTAACCTAGAGCTTTTTACTATAACTAAGGCAGCTTCTTAGCAAATTAAGGTTCATCTTCCTTCCAAGAATGTCATTTCTTCTTAGGTAGAGATCACTTGCTTATTCTCCCATAGGTTTCCAAGAAGAAGGAGAGACTTGGTAGTGAGAATAGTTGTATAGATTGTGGGCTTCTTCCCCCCCCCCATGCAAAAAAGTAGGCTCCCTAGTTAAATTTGAATTTTAGATAATTATGGATAAATTTTGGTATAGATATGGCCTATGCAATGCTTTGAATATACTGAATATTAAAAAGTTGTTGTTTACCTGAAATTCAAATTTAATTGGATTTTGTATGTTATCTGATAACCTTAACTAGGGACAAGGTTACCAGAATGGTGGGGAAATAAAACAAAAATGCAGCAACTCTTCAACTCTTCCCCTAGCAAAGGAACCTGAAGAGCCTTCCCTTTGGTTTTAGTCATCTTTGAGTTGTCTAAGAGTATTGTAATGGCAAATGTTATAAAGAGTAAATAACACTCATCTGGTAGATCTTCAAGATCAGTTCTATACAGTAGATTGACTGGATCAGTTTTATTCTTTTTACAGCCCTGTGACTCATTTCGGGTATATCCAGCTTGTGTAACCCTTACAGAACCATTTGCTATAAATTTAACATTTTTTATCAAGGGTTGTTTATTTTCCAGAAGAAATAATTTCTGATTTATAGATTAGAAAAAAGGCACATCAGAGAACTCTTCTGGGTTCTTCAAAATATTTTAAGTCATCACTGGCTGTAGGCTTGGCTTGTAATCAGAGTTAGTAGTCTAGAATAGTGGTTCTCAGAGTTTACATGCAACAGAATCACAGAGGGCTCAAAACAACCAAGATCACAGGTCCCATCCCCAAAGTTTCTGATTCAGATGATAATTCGTCTGTCCTAAGTTCTCAGGTCATGTTGATGCTGTTGTTTGGGAACCATGCTTAGAGAACCACTGGTGTAAAGAAACTTAACCAAAGGATAGTATTATAAATACCTCTGAAATTGTAATATAAATTAGTGTATTTTATACCAGCTTTTAAGCAGTATTGGGATAAAGTAATATACATGAATCTGAATATTAGAGTAATGATGCTACTTTGAACTATTCTGTTTTAAGATGCTTTTTAGCCCAGGAAACAAATAACTTTTTAAAACCTCTCCTTCAGGGTTTTAAAAGATTATTTATTTATTTTTTGGCCATATTATCCTTTTCTTTCAGGAAATGTCTAGCCAGATGAATGTATGAGAATAGCTACCTCTTTTGGTTTAGATTTTCATGCTTGATAAGTTGAACACCCTTATTTTACTTTATTTTTAAAATTAATTAATGTATTTTTACAGTACCTGGGGATTGAACCCAGGGCCTTTGCACCAAGCTACACATCTAGCCCTTTATTATTTACTTATTTATTTATTTAGTACCAGGGATTGAGCTCACAACCTTGCACTTCCGAGGCAGGCGGGGTGCCACTGAGCTAAATCCCCGACCCAAGATCTTTATTTTTTGAGACAAGGTCTTGCTAAGTTGCTCAGGTTGGGCTCAGTCTCCTGGGGTGCTTGGACCTTATTTTACCTTACATACATCTTTCCATTGAAAATGTTAATGAATTCCAGGTTTTGCTCATGTGAATATTCTGAGTAGTCATTAGTTTTGGGTGCTTTAAAACGTTTACCATAGAAACTATACTTACAGTCTATTATTTGATCTACCAAATACAGAACTATTTTTCAAAGTCTATAAATTTGTTCCATTAGTTTATAGTCAGTTTGAAATAAATAGTGCTTCCAGTACTAAATAGATGTCTTATAGTAGGCTGTCTTAACAAATGCACTTATTTCTCAGGCTGAAGTTATAGGGGAGAGTGGACAATTGAAAGAGTAAATGTTCTTTTCATTTATAATGAAATAAACTAATAACTTTCTTTTTTAAAATTAAAATATGTACTGAGAAGTATAAATATGTGCATGGATAAAAGGTGTTTTCTTTATTAAGGTGGACAGCAGCAAAGAATCAGCTGAAGCAGCTTGTGATATTTTATCACAGCTTGTGAATTGCTCTTTAAAAACACTTGGACTTATTTCAACTGCTCGGCCAAGCTTTATGGATTTACCAAAGGTATCTCCTGCTTTTGTTTTTTTGACTATTACTGAGAAATCCAGTGAAAGCCTAAACACTTACAGTATTGACAGTTAAGAGTATAAGGAAAGTGAAGTACATAATGGAAAACAAGTTACTGTTTAGAATGTTGAGAAACCGTATTTTAAAAATAATTTTTAAAATCACTTAGTGCTTCTTGATTGGTAAGGTTAAAGAGTAAATGAATTTAGAGAAGATTCTCTAGGATGTGCTAAAAGAAATTAAGTAAAATTGAAGGCTGGGGATTTAGCTCAGTGGTTCCGCCACCTGCCTCTCAAGCACAAGGACCCAAATTTGATCCCCAATACCAAAAAACAAACAAACAAAAAAAGTAAAATTGAGAGGCATATCAGAAAAAAGAACATAGATATGTATTCTCTTTGGGCTTTCAGAGTAGATTGGGGAAGTGAGAATAAAAAAAGAGAGTGCCAATGTGGCCTACTTATATGAACTCTGGCAAGTGTAAAGATGTGTTCTTGAGCATAGTTAGTATCAATACAGCTTGCATTACTGTACATGTTTTAGGTAAAAAGAGCCTTGTGGAGAGTTAACTGTTTATATTCACATGTAAGTTTGAACATGGTGTTGCACATAGAGATAGCCTTTCTCACAACTACAATATTCTCTTAAATTAGAAAAATAAGGGCCGGGGATTTAGCTCAGTGGTTCTGCCGTCTGCCTTGCAAGTGGAAGGACCTGAGTTCGATCACCAGTACCAAAAAAAATAAAAAAAGAAAAAAAAAAGAAAAATAAGGTAGTTGATAAAGGTGTCTAAGGTTTTTTTTGCGGTACTGGGGATCGAACTCAGGACCTTGTGCTTGCAAGGTGTGTACAGTGCCTCTGAGCTAAATCTCTGGCCCCTGGTGCCTAAGTTTTATTAGTTGAGTTACATGATACAGTACAACTTTCTTCAAGCTTCATATGGGAAATGAAATGTTCTAGATTGATTTTGTATATGTCCACCATAGCTAATAAACTCATATACTTACATGTACTATATAAAATATACCATATTAAAGAGTATGTTGAATATAGTTTCTGGGTTTCTTATTTGGGTTATCACTGCATAAATCTAGTGCTAATTTGAGAGCCATTGATAACAGCTGAGACAGCTTCTTATTAAATAGACCTGGGCTGCTTATACTGTTATCCTTTTCCTTTTAAGGGTTTTACAGAAAAGATTGAAATAGGTGTTATGGTGTCTTGGAAATCCTGAGAGAAGTAAAGATAACATAGAAGAAATGTATTTGACCATGGAAGAAGTTACTTGACTATAGTTAAAGCAGGGCAGTTGGAAAGAAATCAGTGGTACAGATATGCATATTAGAAAGGAAATGTGATTGCACAGTATACAGTTGAGTTTGATATGAAAATATTAGATGTTAACATTAAATAAGTTATTTAATCAAAATTTCAGTCATTAGCCAGTTAATCACAGTACAGAGAAACTGCAGTAGGGAATGTGACCAAGCAGGTGGAATTGCATTGTACTTTCTTGTCTGTTAACTTGCCTTCATCTTCTTGGTCCTGTTATAGAGAATTTATAAAGCTAAGGTTGGTTGTATAGAGAAATGTGTTGGGACCTTTCCTTATTCTTCAAATTCTTTGTGCATTAGCTATAGCTTATTTCAACTCTGATTCAAAGTCACGTACTTTGAACATGTTTTAACTCCTCTTTCACTACAGTGGTCCCCCTTTGATTAGATTCTGTGTCAGATACTTAACATGTATATAGTAAATTGAAAATACTCACTGATATATTTGTGGCAAAATAAAATCAAATAGAAGACTTGAAAATTTTAACGTTTTTGAATTTTAACATTTTTTGGTTTTGGGGTTTTGAGACAGGGTCTCACTGTGTAGTGTGGCTGGCCTTGATCTCAATATGTAGCCCAGGCTGGCCTGGAACTTGTAATGATCCTCCTGCCTCAGCCTCCCAAGTGCTGGGATTATAGGCATGTGCCACCACACCCAGCTCATTATTGCTATTTTAAATTGATCATTACTATGCAGTTTAGTGGTACAAAACACAAGAGTAAGGCTACCAGATATGGTGAAGGGAATTATCTGAAAGGTATTCTCATCTTGGCTTCCAGGCTTCTTCATTTTACTTACCACTGGTTGTTGTGATTTAGAGACGTCTGAAGGCTTGATATTCATTGTTCACCTATAGGTAAAAAGGTTCCTCTCAAAGACAGCAGTTAGTAACTTTTTTTTTGGTACCAGGGATCGAACTTGGGACCTTGTGCCTGCGAGGCAGGTGGCAGCATCACTGAGATAAATCCTTGGCCCAGTTAATAACTTTTTTAGAAAACCATATAACCAGTTACAGAGTATAGTGGTTCTAGCCCTTTAACAGTTTTAAAATACACCATTAGGATTCAAGTGAACCATATCTGGTATTATATGGAAACCTGTAAGTTATTCCTAAAATTTAAAACAATGTTTTAACCTTTTTGCTTTTCAGTCTCACTTTATCTCTGCACTGACAGTTGTGTTTGTAAACTCCAAATCCCTGTCCTCGCTTAAGATAGATGATACTCCAGTAGATGATCCATCCCTCAAAGTACTAGTGGCCAACAACAGTGATACTCTCAAGTTGCTAAAAATGAGCAGCTGTCCTCATGTCTCTCCAGCAGGTATGTTGATTTGTTTTTGCCAGACACACTTTTAAAATATTTTATCTGTTCATCAGATTATGGAAAAATTATGATTAATAATTTTAATAGTCCTTTTAACCCATTTGTAGGTAGGTGGGTTAAAAGGACCATTTCCTTTAATGTCATAACACAGTAGTGTAAATTTTGTAGTGTTATTAGCCCACAAACTGATAATTGGACTTATTCTCTAATCATTATTTGATAATACATGTACATCATGTGTTTAAAACAAGTATTTTTTTTAAAAGTGGAAAGATAAGAGCCCTGAGGTCCCTCTTGATGTAAAATAGCATTTTCTGTAATTGTAGTTGAACTAACAGTAGGTTTTAAGACATAGCAGTCACATGATTGTTTTTCTTCTTACTCTACATACAGAGGGAGAAGAGTTGTCCTTAGTAGTTGTCTCATATTTTGTAAGCTAATGCTTTTCTTAAGTTGAACTGTGGAGTCACAAGCCCATCACATGGGGAGTAGTAGCATTATAAGAGCGCTTTCCCACTTCCATAGAATTTAAGCATTGCTACATTACTCATTTTGAAATTAATTCCAGAGGGTTTGTATTAAAAAGTATATAAAATGTGATTTTCATATTATTCTCTGTTGTTTTATTCCTGACTCTTCTCACTATTGACATCCCTTCTTGTTTGTAGCTGTGTTATTTGGTAAACCTTTTTTACCTTCTTGCCATAACTAAAGCTCAAGTTACCTCAAGGAAATGACTTCTTGGATGGAGGTTACTTACAGTTCCAGACTTCCCATGTGGGAAGTCTTGGTGATGGGAATGGCTAGGTTTATTGCTGTATTTTCCTGCTTGTCTTTGTCACTTCTAGTTTATCATTGAGGGTATTTTAAAATAGACATTAAGAAAAATATTTTGCTTTAGCGCTGACTTCCCATGTGACATTGATCACATTGTACTGAGTACTGTATAGATCTGCTATGAGATTAAGGTCCATACTTTATAGCTGAGTGTACAAGGCCCTTTGTCTTCACCTCTTACTTGAACCCTGTGGAACTATAATTGATTGTTTTTCCCTTTGTGTGTGGTCAGTATACTGTACTCTGGAGTACTTTTTTTTTTTTAACTTCATCTAGCTAACTCCATTACAGCCTTCAAAATTCAGCTCAGATGTTAACCTATTTTAACCTCCCCCCTTCTGCCTAACCTTAGCTCCACCTGTATGTTTTCATAGCACTGTGAACAAAACATCATCGCTTCTGACACTTTTTTCGGTGGGGTGGGTACTGGGGATTGAACTTGGGACCTTGCGCTTGCAAGGCAGGCGGCGACACCACTGAGCTAAATCCCCGGCCCCCTTCTGACACTTTTTTAGTTTGTGTGTTCCCATTTGATGGCTGTTGGACCAGTTGATCAGTAAGAAAAGGAAGAGAAAGACCACTTGTAATATTTTTTAATGGAAGAGCATAATCACAGAAGATTTTAAACTACAACATTATTTGTACAAATTCTCATTATTTGCACATATTCTATCTATACTTCTCATGTTTGGACAGTTTCTTCCTCCAAATTGAAATTGTGGGCTATTTTATGTTCTGCTTTTCACTGAACAGTTGATCAGACTTTTTTCCATTTTCATATAATTGTTATACCTGGACCTCTAGGTACCATTTGATGCTAATTAATTTGTTGGCTTTTTTTTATATCATTCCCCTGATATTTTTGCTTACCTTTCTGTTCCTGCTGTTTGCTTTGCTGGTTTTGTTTTCATCTCTTAAATTTTGCTGTTTCCTTGTTTTCTCTCTGTATTGGCTAGTTTTTTGTTATACTCTGTAAAATCTAGCCAGTGTCATCCTCGTCTGTGGTTTGACTTATGTTCTGTATGTTAATACCTTCTAATTTAGGGTCTGTGGAACTCCAAAACTATATGTTGGATGGCTAAGGGCTCAGTGTGCTAGAACATCTCACTGGTGCTTCAGACCAAAGAACTTCCCTATCTTCCTTTCTAAATCTTATTCTTCCTTTAAGGTGGGCTCAGGAGATGCACTGTCCACCTAGCTGTTGGGGACATGATAGACATCTTTGATTGTTCCTTTCCATATTCTGTGCATGCCTCTTATCACTGAGGTCTGGCAACTCTACCACCAAAATATGCTTTGAATCTTTTCAAATCTTTTCAAAATATGCTTTTGAACCCCACTCTAAATAACTGCTCTAGATCAGATCCCTCTAATCTTTATATAGTACCCTCTTAACTGATTTCCTCATTTGTGGCCTTGTTCTTCTTAATCTGATTTTTATGCTACAGCCAGAGTAATCTTTCTAAACTATATTTTTGTCCTTTTTTTTCTTCAGAACTTGTCACTGTGCTTTCCGTATACCTAGACTTACAAGGTCTGGTATGATTTGGCCCTTGCCTATTTGGGCTTCATCTTTTGATATAGTCCCTTACTTAGATACTGTGTTTTGACTCTTTCAGTTGTTGGAATGCTTGTATTCACTTCCATGTCTGGGTGTCCACACAGAAAATACTGTTTTCTTCCTTTTCCACTCTTTGTGCCTTACCTTCATGCTAACTTTTTGGGTCTCTTTGTGTTAGTTCTGGGCAGTCTTCACTGATTCCCTTGTAACGAGTACATCCTTGTTATTTATTTGCTACTTCCTATTAGAATAAGGATGACTAGTTCGTATCGCACCTTTACCCACCTAGCATCAGTGCTTGTTATATAAGATGCTCATTAATATCAGATGAACTAATAAGCATTTATTTAGTATTCTACCTTATAGATAAACATTTACATCATAGTTTTTTTAAGTTTGGATAATTGTTTCTACTCTTTTGCTGTGATTTAAAAAATAATCAACTATTTTGGCACATAGCAGCTTGCTTCTATGAATTTCTTCCTTAATGAAAAATTCTGAAGAAATGAAAGTCAAGGCATCCAAATTTTTTTTATACGTTTTGCTGCACCCACCTCATCCCATTAGGTGTATGAATTTCTACTACCAATAATATACCTGGCTCATGACAGTTTTATTGAAATGTAATTCAGGTACTATACAGTCATCATTTAAAGTACGTAATTTTTGGCTTTTAGTATATTGGCAAATGAATTCATCACCACTGTGGAACTTTAGATTTTATTATCCTAGGAAGAAATCACATGCCTCTCCTGTCAAGCCCTAAAACCTCCATCGCAGCTAGTCCCCATTCATTTTCTGTCTCTGTGGATTTACCTATTCTGTGTATTTCATGTGAGTGGATTCATATATGATCTTTTGTGTCTGGTTTCCTTCACTTAGCATGTTTTGAAGGCTTATCTGTGTTGTATCATGAAGCAGAACTTTCTTTTTATTGCTGAGTAATCTTATTTCTGAGTAATATTGTATGGCTGTACAATATCTATTGCTCAGTTGATGGGTATTTGGGTTGACTATTTTGAGTAATGCTGCTATGAATCTTCATGTACCAGTTTTTGTGTGTACATGTTTTAATTTCTCCTGGATATATGTGTAATAATGGAATTGTTGGATCATATAGTAACTGTTTACCCATTTGAGAAACTGCTAGACTGTTTTCCAAAGCAGCTGCACCAGTTTACAATTCCTTTTCCATATTCTAACACTTCTGTTTAAGTAGCCATCCTGGTGGGTATAAACAAGTATCCCATTGTGGCTTTGATTTGCATTTTCTTGATAACTATTGAGGATCTTTTTGTGTGTTTATTGGCCATTTGTATATTTTCTTTAGAGATAATGTCTATTTAGATTCTTTATTTTTTAATTGTCATTTATTATTTAGATGTAATAGTTTACCAGTTTTATCTTTGTCACTATGCTGTTATATATAGCATAGGAGTATAAATGTGGTAGTTTATACCAATACTATTTATTGGCTCCACAGTTCTGTAGGACAGAGATACAGGGAGGGCTGAATTGGCTTTGCTTAGGGTCTTAAAGTGCAAAAGTCAAAGTGTTACGCTAGGCTTTTATATGGAGGCTCTAGGGAAAAATCCACATCCATACTCATTTGAATTGTTCGCTGAATTTATTTCTTTGAGGTTGTAGGCCTGACACCTCATTTTCTTACTGGCAGTTTGCAAGAGCCTACTTGGGGTGTTTCTCTGCTCTTAGAGGCTGCCTGCATATCTTAAAGCCAGCAATAATATGTTGACACCCTCCTTGTGCTTTGAATCTCTCTGACTTCTTTTCTACAAGGAGTAATCTCTTAAAGGAAGTAAGTGATTAGGACTACCCAAATAATCTCTGAATTTTATGAGGCCATCTGTGTCATATAACAATGCTGGACATCATACCATATTCCTAGATGCTAGGCGTTAGGATGTGGAATGGGGTGGGGATTAAGAATTATGCCTGCCAAATTGCTTTAGTAGTTGTTAAATGACATTGCAAAGTTTCTGTTATTTGCACCTTTGTAATTGTTCATGTGTTTTCTTTCTCTTTATATTAAGCTTTTTGATATAAACAGCAAGAGATGTGCTCAGGTTACCTTGGGTGATCAGGAGAGCTATATATATTTATCTCCATCCCTCCCTCCCCCTTGTGAAGAACAGAAACGTGCAGTGGCTAGTGAAGCATACTGGTCCATTACTCCCTCTTCTGACTCTCTCATTCTGTTGATTCAGTTTATCTCTTCTGATTGTATTGCCTATCTTCTCCTTCCAGTGCTGGAAAGCTTTGGCTTAATGATGGTGTTTGTTATGTCACTTCTTAGGTGGATAAACTTATAAAGAGTCACTTAGCCTGTTTGTGTTACAGCTTCACTATGTTTTGCTAGCTGCCTCAATTTCAAAAATTTCTAGTTTTTTTTTTAAGTAGTTGTGGGATAACATATTAGTACTTGTGTATTATACAGTACTTCTAAAATAAATAGATGAAGCTATGTATGCTTTATATACTTATTCCTGTTTCTAAACATAAGAAAGAAATGGGTTGAGTGGTTATTTATCAGGTAGTACAGAGTCATTACTCTTTAGGGCAGAATTCTTATACTGAACTTACTTTGGAGATCAAATCAAATATTGACCTTTGGTAAAGTCATCTGTTGCCAGGGTAATAGTTGTGGGAAAAACATGGTTTCCTGAATTTAGGCAATTATTCAAGGGGCTGCTTCCTGAATGTGTTAAGAGCTTCAGAAGTCATAATGTGCATTTCCCTTCCTATGAATCAAGTGGTTATCCTTGACCCATTTAGCTACTGATATCTTGGTATTTCTTTGCCCTTAGAAATTTGATACACTATTATCAGTTAAACACTGTTGATTTGTTGGATTTTTTTTTTAACTTAATAAATGTTTAGTTACATAAATCATAGTTTCGTGTAGTTATATTTTATCCTCCCTTATGTTAGAATTAGGTTTTGAGTTTCAAAAAAAATACTCTTTGGCCTCTGCAGTGATAATTTAATTTTTTAAATGTATATTTAGTGTTAGTGGTATTTTTTTTTAAATATGGCACTGCATATGCACTACTAGGGTAAATCTTAGTCATGATAGATTTTTAAAATGAGTTATTATGAGTTGTTAAAAATGAGCTTGAGTTTTAAGGAATTAAGTTTCATTTTCTTGTAGACAGAATTAGTAACAGCTTTTAAATGTTACCTTCTAATTCAGCTATACAGCTACATTTTAAATTGTATTTTTGTCGTGTACGCACATGATTAAATTTTTTGAACAGATGAACTTGTAAAAAAACCTTATAATTACTATTTTTTTTTCCTAAGGTATCCTTTGTGTGGCTGATCAATGTCATGGCTTACGAGAACTGGCTCTGAACTACCACTTATTAAGTGATGAATTGCTACTTGCTCTGTCTTCTGAAAAACATGTTCGATTAGAACATTTGCGTATTGATGTAGTCAGTGAGAATCCTGGACAGACACACTTCCATACTATCCAGAAGAGCAGCTGGGATGCTTTCATCAAACATTCACCCAAAGTGAACTTAGTTATGTATTTTTTTTTATATGAAGAGGAATTTGACCCATTCTTTCGTTATGAAATACCTGCTACTCATCTTTACTTTGGGAGATCAGTAAGCAAAGATGTGCTTGGCCGTGTGGGAATGACATGCCCTAGACTAGTTGAACTAGTAGTGTGTGCTAATGGATTACGGCCACTTGATGAAGAGTTAATTCGCATTGCAGAACGTTGTAAAAACTTGTCAGCTATTGGACTAGGGGAATGTGAAGTCTCATGTAGTGCCTTTGTTGAGTTTGTGAAGATGTGTGGTGGCCGCTTGTCTCAGTTGTCCATTATGGAAGAAGTATTAATTCCTGACCAAAAGTATAGTTTGGAGCAGATTCATTGGGAAGTGTCTAAGCATCTTGGTAGGGTGTGGTTTCCCGACATGATGCCCACTTGGTAAGGACCATGTTATATAGGGCATGATGAATAGCACCTTACCTTCAACCAAATGTATTGTAATAAAAGTTTATTTGCTGTAGTTCTGATATAATTCTGTATTTTGTGGTACCAAAATTTGCTATCCTCAGTGCATATACAAGCATTGTTTATTGGAAGACCTACGAATAAGTTCTGGTCAGAAAACTGTTTCTTTAGTTTAATAGCATTCAAATCTCTGAAAAGTAAAAGAAAAAAGTGATTTCATATTTGAAAGTAATAACCAGTTATAGAGACTAAACAGTTCATAGTCTTATGGAAATAAAAAACCTATATATAATAGCCAACAAGTACGCTAATAGGTTTTTTGAAATGTTACGTTCTCTATGCATTTTTTTAAAAATGTAAACTTGACATTTTTAGGGTCTTCAGTTATACATACACCTGTTATAAGGTGTTTAATATAGCTCAGGAAAGTGAGCATTTTGTGAGAAAAATGTAGGATATACAATATCGTATTTAATGAAAAAAATTGGTTGAATGTTCTCAAATGTTACACACCTGTTTAAAACAAGGGGTGTATATATAAGTAATTGGAACACTTACAAAACTGTTAAATGTCACACAGTGATTGTAGAAGGACAATACACAGAGCCAAGATCAAATTAAAATAAATGGGATAGAAGGGAGGCAGTTATTTAGCTTTGTAAAAACTTTTAGATTTTCTCTATAATCTGCTAAACCGTATAAGTTCTTTTTTGTAGTATGTTGTGTGTGGCACCTGAGGCATTGTAAGTAAAGTGAGGAATGCCTTAACACTTCTCCTTGGTTCTATCTTTGTTTAAACTAGTCTTTAAGTATTATTCAATAACTGAAATGAAAAGCTTATCTTCTTTTAAAAAGCCAAACTGAAATAATTAAAGACAGAACTTTAAAATGTTTATGAATTGTTTCTAAGAAAGAATATTAGTCTCCAGTGAATTTTAGTGATGGCTCATTTTTCCATTTTTGAATTATATAGTAATGTAAGTAGAATTTTAAATAAACACCAGTGTACAGTTCAGCATAAACAGTAAATTTAAGAGATATTTAAGTTCATAATCATATTTTTGAGTAAATGTTGCTCGATGAACTGGAAAATTTTAATAGAAAGATCTGCAGTTTTGTGATTGTTAATCTGGTTAAACTGCTATATTATTTAAGTAGTGTTTTATATTACTTTCATATAAATAAAGGTAAACCCATGCATTATAATTCAGTTGGGTTTCTTTTTTAGATACTATATAAACTTTGATTCTGGGCACTTCTGCTATTGAATACTACCTTCTTAAGGAAAATGAGAAGTGATTTACCCTTAATGGAACACATTAATGCTTGAAATGGCTGTCATCAGTAGTGTTAACTTTCAGTATGTTAGTGGTTATGGAAGCTAACAGTCTAAAAAAGTAGATGACCTTCCTAAAGAATAAAATAAAAAATGATTTACTATGTAATACATGCTTTTCAAAAGTGATCATATGCTATCTTTCAGCCACATATAATTAAGAATAAAGGCTGATCCAGACTTGAAAACTAAAAGCATTATTGTAATATTTCCCCTCTTACTAAATAGTAAAAAGCTTAGATTGTATAAGAAATACCGAGTTAGTGAATTTTTTTCTTAACTTTGTAAAATGGATTTGACAGTACATTATCAGTTCTAACCAAAGCTTTATTTAAAAATTTACTTTTTGTACAAATTATATAATGCTTGAAATACCTTAAGTCACTTTATAAGCAAGATGCATAGCACTTAATTTGTTTATACTGTAAAATATGTTAAATGCTTTTATCAACTTGAGAATAAAGATAGCTACTAATGCTGTTGTATTAAATTTTTTAAAACTTCCCAAACATATATACTTATTTGACTTTAAAACTAGTTAAATTTACACATTTAGTTTTAGTTTCAAATCCTTTGATATGTGTACAATGTTTAATATTAAACACCGTTTATGTAGATGCTTTGAAGATAAAAGGTTAGACATTTTGAATCTATTCTTGAAGTCAGCTCTGATGCCTATGAAATTTACATGAAATATAAATTATTTTTAAAAAACCATACAAAAAATGGTTAAATAGGCTTTTTCTACACTTAGAATGAGGAATTATAAAGCACTTTATTTAGAAATAGAATTCTTGGTCATAAAGAATCCTTGACTCCAACTTGCCTCTTTAAACTATAGAAATTATTTTCATTTTCTGGCAGTGAGTTTCAGAAAACATCTTCATTTTATGTGAGCAGTTTAGGGTATTTTAACAATATTAAAAAAACAAGTGTGACTGAAAATTACTTATTGCAGTCTACAAAGAATATTTTGTATTTATTAAACACCCCACTTTATCTGTAGGCCTAATTTTAATGTTATCAAGCAGTCAGGAAAATCCCACCTGCTTGTTGATGCCCAACTTCCTTTAAAAAAAAAAGTCACAAAATGATATACTGTGAGAGTGAATGAAGTGCTCATCCTTAGCATATTCAGTCCAATAAAAGGATAATTATCCTTAGTTTAAATAGAGAAAGATCTAGAAAAGGTAAGTTTGAAGAGTACAAGACTGCTTGATGATTTCCAGCTTACTTCCCCTTTGAACAGGGAAAAACATACCAGGTTTTAGAACATTGCTTTCTATACACCATGCTAAGAATTTATTATTCAGGAAGTGCCAGTGGAGCAGACTTATAAAGCTAACACTTCCCTAACATCTGTAATTTTATTTCTGATTTTTAACATGGAGTCAATACTGATTGAGGGCTCCAAATATTTAAGTTATTTTTATCTTTTGACTGTTCTTTTCTACCTGCAACAATGTTTAGATAACACATTATAGGTAACTTACCTGATACTGAGCCACATTAATGAGTAAGGACATTTATTCTAAAGCTGTCATAGTCAAAATTTTCTCCTAGGAGAAATTTTATATGTTTATAATTTCAGCAACAATAGAAATCACATATAAGTTATACCGTAGCTCAAAGAGTAGCAAAATTTAATTGGCAGATTCCTGCCCAGGCTCGTTTTGATTTCCCAACTACCATTTGAAAGCATGTTCTTGAATCGTCTTTGCTTGAAAGTTCTACTTCATCTTGTAAAATACTTGACAGGTTTCATAAATTCTTAAATACTAAATACTTTTGTGAATGCTATGCTGTCTGTGCTGTTGCCATCTGAATATAGTTCTTTGACAAAATTCATTTATTAATACTCTTAATAATGAAAACTCTTCAGTGCTTTTATGACATAGAATCCTGCTTCAAAAGTCAAGTTCCACATGGAAATGTCTTTATTTTCGTTGTGAAACCAAGTTAAGGGCCAGGGATTTAGCTCAGTGGTGCCGCTGCCTGCCCTGCAAGCACAAGGACCTGAGTTCGATCTCTGGTATGGAAAAAAAAAGATCTGCAGTTACTGCAAACTTAGTACAAGAATATTTGCTTATCACTTGAGTGCAGATCTGGAAATCCAGAATGACTTGCCACTGCAATGTTAAGAATCTGGTAGGAGGGTCCGGGGATTTAGCTCAGTGGTTCTGCTGCCTGCCTCGTAAGTGCAAGGTCCCAAGTTTGATCCCTGGTACTGGAAAAAAAAAAAAGAAAGGAAGAATCTGGTAGGAGGTGGTGTTGCCTGAGTTTAGCCACTAGATGGTGATAATTCGAAGAGCCAGTTTCTTGTGACACTCCAAGGAGAGGTTAAAGAGGCAACCCCAATTAGGAATGGTTTAGGCACTGTAGGCCAAGTGAGGGGCAGTGGAAGAAAATTCTCCCTGTGCTTTTGAGGAAGACTAGGTAGAATGGTGTAGTGCAATGCTGCTCAAGCTTTCTGTGGTGACTGAGTTTTTATTTTCAGACTTAGGCCTACACTCGAAAAACAAAGACGAAAATAAAAGCTCCAGAGTTTTAAAAAAATTGATTCAACAGAATAACAGTACTTTAAAAGTTTCTAAATGTTTCCACTCAGTAGCTCCACTTATTTCATAGACTAGTAACATTTGGTAGCCGAACACTGGTCCAAGGACCACACTGTTGAATATCACTGAAAAACTTGTATCTAAATTCATCAGCAGAACCTGAATTCAGTATCTGGCTTACTAATAGGGTAGCCATGGAAAGGTCGCTTAACCTTTGTAGACCCCAATTTAATCATTTGGACGAGGTAAACAATGATTGGGCTTTTATGAGAGCTCAATAATGTACTAACCTCTCAGGAAGCACTCAAATGTTAGCTGAAACTAAAGAATATAATTGGTCCACTTACATATGAAACATTGTTTCCTCTGGTTTCCATCTTACTCATGTATTTTCCATGAACAGAAAAAATGGCATTCATTTGATTATAACATACTTAAAAGATCTTGAAAGCCTGTCTGATGTCTAACATGAACACTGATTTAGAGATCTTGTCTCTGCAAAATATACCCTCTTCCACAGTAGTGGCAGCATTTGTGGGAGAAGGGAGAACTACAGAAAACAGTGAAGGAGTTAGAAGTACCTGTCCACTCAGAGGTGTCTGCAGCCAGATAATTCCATGCCCCACGTGGTTGAAGAACTGCTGAAGTACTACACTGTTAGCTCAAAGTCTTGATTAACAAAATCCAGGAGAGCTGGCACATAACCCACATTAGTGAAGATCAAAGATGACACCGATTAATCTTTATAGCCACCATTCACTGTGACCTAACTATGCCAAACATACACGACTTCAGTCTTTACAACAATCCTAACAGATGATTCATTTCAAAGATCGGAAAACTAAGGTATAGTGATGTTAAATTGCTTAAATCATAAAACCAGTTATAAACTACAAGGTAGAAAGAATCTTGGCTTTTAATACTATTAACCACATATGGTAGCAAAATTTCTCCAGCTATATTGTCCAATTAAGTCTTTCAAGTTAAGTGAATAGAGCACAATTAGAGTACTAGGCCTACTTTTAAAAGTTACAAAAGCTGTAAAATAAGTGTAAACTACCAAAAAGCACTTAATAAGAAAAAGTGTAACTTAGAAAAAATAGCTCCTACCATGAAAATGTCGCTATTGGAACCAAAGAACATACATATTAGGCATGAACGATTGTTCTCCATACTAACTAAGGCTTGGGAATTGAAATCAAGATTACTTAATGTGTTCACTTTAGCCAATATAGTAATTTCATCTTCTTTCCAAGAAGAGTCGAGATATTAATATGCAACAGTTCTACCAAGATGCATTTTACCATTCTGCTCTGAGGAAAAAAGGCTTAAGAAATCCACAAATGTAAAATCACCCCCTAAAAAACAGATGCTGGTGGTTGGAGAAAAAAGAGCAGTAAATAGAATTAAGGTTTTATAAACCAGGAAATGTTTTGTGCCTGTTAGGTAAAGGAATTTCTTCATATGTTATTTTAACAAAAGGGAATTTCATAGGTAAGAACCAATATTCAAAATTATAAAACAAATAGAACTGCCTATGCATAATCACTGAATCAAAAATTTGCAAGAGACTCAACAGAAATTCTTTAGTTGACAAGTGTGGTTTGAAAGGGTAATAAAATCTTTTTATGGCTAAAGCAAGAGTCTTATTTCCTGTTGGCCCAAAAATAGATGTTTCATTTCCCAAATAAGTTGGTTCTCCACTGTAAAGAAATATTCTTGTATAGTTGGTGTCTATCTTCTTGAACTCTGCTCCAAGTTCAGCCAACTTCTCATATGTCCGTAACACAAATTTTGAACAGTCGTAGGACTCAAACCATGTCTCTGCCCCTTTTTCTGGGCTGGCTTGGGCAGTCCATGTCTCATAATAAATTCCTGTTTCATTGTCCTGTTTCACCCACTTTGCCATTTTGTTAAATGTGTTTCCTAGTTTAAAAACAAAACAAAACCTATATGAACAGCAAACTAACATTAGTTCTAAGTAAATATAAGATTTGTTTTGAATTTCCCAAACTCATGACAGTAATCCAAGCTCAGCCAATTTAAATTATATTCTTTAAGGCATTGCTGAATTATAAACATTAGACATAAGCACACAAAGAGAAGGCTTCCTAAAATCATTTGGGCTATTGTCAAGAGGGAGATTATACAAATGCAGCACCCTTTACACTATTCAAATTTTGGATTCAGAGTCAGAAAAGGAAAGCAAAGAAGGAATTGTGGAAAGAGGAAAAGGTGAATAGGCAAGGACACTGTCAGAAAAATAGGATGGTAAAAGTTGTGCTTTTCTCTTACAAAGCATGGGATACAACCAGCAATGAATGAGAAGCAGCTGCACCAGAAGGCTGGCCTTCCTTGAATACTTTTCCCCACTGTACTTGCACAGCTGTTGGAATGCAGCTAATGACTTCCCACCCACCCATCAAATTCTTCAAAGAACCAACCACACTGGAAATGTTTTTGGCCAACCTATACAGGCTCCAAAATTGCCAACTCTCTCTGCTACTACCCCTTTGTACCAGATCAAAAGCATCTTCCCAAATATTTAGAAAACGTGCTCTACATGGCTACAACCCTCATCTGGGCATTTGTAATGCTCAATAGAGCTAGGCTTCAATATTTCACTCAGTCATTGTACACAAACTTTTCTTTGGCTACTCCAACTTGAGTCCATAAAATAAATACTTCATTGTTCTGTGAAATGAATAGAGTGTCTGCCTTTATCAATTTAATGGAATTTCAATTGTGGAAGTATATAAAGCCTGTTTTCTTAGACCTAGAGGCACTGTTCCTACCATTCAACTTTGAAAAGCTACTGCTATACTTAAAGAGATGTGGCACTATTGTACTTCAAAACACTGTGTTGTAATATGAAGAAAAGGTCACTGACAGAACATGATCACAAGTCAGATGGACAACTTAAGATTTAAGTAGTAGCATATTACAAAATACATTACAGAAAACAAGGATTACTTGTTCATATGATAAATGTAGGTCAGAAGGAAAAGTCAGATAATGATGTAGGTGGAAATGGAAATAAGAGACGTGAACTGGCTTGGAAGAAAAGAAAGCAGTTATTTATTTTACTGAGCATTGTGGAAACAGATGGACTTTCATATTGTTGGGATGGTTTGGGACACATTGATTAGAAAATAGGAGGGATATCAGAAAATTGCCCTGTGTTCTCAGTTAAAAGGTCCCCAGATGACATTTACAGGATCTCAATTCTAGCCTTGGTTCTGCTATATCGAGCTCTATGACTGAATAAAAGTCATACCTTACCTGGCTGAGCCTCAATTCCTTATTTGTAAAAACACAGGGTGTCCCTTCTCCACTGCTGGTGGGAGTGTAGACTGGTGCAACCACTGTGGAAATCACTATGGAGATACCTCAAAGAACTAGGACTGGAAGTCCCATTTGACCCTGCTATTCCCCTGCTGGGGATCTTTCCCAAAGAATTAAAAGAATCATACCACAGTGATATATGTGCACCCATGTTCATAGCAGCACAGTTTGTAACAGCTAAAACTTGGAAACAGCCCAAATGCCCATCAACTGGAGACTGGATAAAGAAAATGTGTTTTTTTTATATAATGGAGTACTACTCAGCCATAAAAAATGAGAAATTAGAGACATTTATAGCTAAGTGGATGCACATTGAGGCAATACTCTTAAGTGAAATAAATAGGTCACACATGTGTAAATACCGAATAGTTTCTCTGGTGTGAGAAACTGAAAGTGTAAATAAGGACTAAATGTATAATAGGTAATGTGAAATAGGAAGAAAAGGGGCAAAGGGGAAGGAAGTGGGAGGGCTAGGGGAAAGGATAGAAGGGAATGGGATTAATATGAGAAAATGGAAAAATAGGAACAAAATCTTTGTAAATAGGGAGGAATGGAGGGGTTGAAGGGAGGGCTGGGCAAGGGTGAAAAATAAGAACCAAGAGAAACTATGTATAGGTGCAAATTTCCAATGATGAATGTCATTATATTGTATACCTAAAATGTACCAATGATTAGAATGAATAATCGATAATGTAAAATAGGAAGAAAAGGTCCAAAGGGGTAGGGGTAGTGGGAGGGGCAGGGGAAAGGAAAAAATGATGAGAAATGGAAAAAATGGAAATAAAGCCTTTGTAAATAGGGAAGGGTGGAGGGCGTGAAGGGAGGGCTAGGAATGGGGAAAAAATAAGAACCAAGATGCATTATATAAAGGTACAGTTCCCAATGAGAAATGTAATTGTGTTGTATACCTACAATGTACCAATAAAAGAATTTAATACAAAAAAAAACACATAGGGTGTCTTACTCTCCCCACAGAAATATGAGTTAACATACCTAAAAGGGATTTGCAAAAGTTACATGAGTAGAAAGCCTGATAATTTCCTTAAGTCCTGAGATCCAGCAAGTGATTATTTTTACAAAGAGTGTCTTCATTTCTGATGTTTCCAGTTTGGGGTGCATCAATTTTTAACGTAGAGCTCTGTGAATGTGGCATGGGCAAGTTCTTCTAAAATTCGATGGTAGCATTCTATGCATGAAGCAATGTACCAACAAGCTATTGATAAAAATTCTGCTGAACTCCTTTCATCACTAACCAATAACACAGCACACAAAATTTCAATTACATTAGCAAATTTGTAATACATCCAAAAGCATAGAAACTCTGAGAGAGAAAATACTTAAATTGCTCAAGAGGGCCTCAAATATGAAAGAATATATATATATTTTGAGAGGTAACATGCCAAAGTTGTTAATAGAATGGCCTACTGGACTTAACTGTTAGGGTTACTTGGCTGTGTAACTTTAACCTCTCTCCATATAACTTTTTCTCCAAGGGGAAAATAATTGTAACTATCTCAGGGACTCTTGTGATGATAATGACACACGTACAGCACTCAGAGCCTGGCCTGCTCTTAAGTCCATATGAGTAGGAGCTATTATTTCTTCACATGAAAACATTTTAATATATCATCACTTAGAAGTGTTCTTAGACACAGTTAATAGGGCCTTTAATTGGGTACTTTAGGGATTTCCTTTACTGTTTTACAGTGGTACCTCAGTTCATGAACTTAGTTATTGCCACGATTCTGGTCACAAATGGAATTGGATGAGAACTAAATCAAATTCAGTGGTTAGGTTCCATATTGATCTTATGAGGAAATTTGATTCAGTTCTTGTCCAATTCAGTTTGCCACCAGAATTGTGGAAAGAATTAAGTTTGAGAACCAAGGTACCACTGTATTTACAAAGTCCACTTTAATTTTACAAAGCATATTATTTCATTTTTTTTCTATAGAATAGAGCAAGAGATAAGCTACATATCACCTATAAGTGAACTTGTGAACGAGTACTAGTTTGGGTCAAAGTGTAGTGGTCCCAGAACAGCATTTTACAAATGATCTCTAAGAAGTAGAACATTACTGAAATGTCTCTATGGAAATAATTTTCATTTGCATACTGATAAAATCATCAAATACTGCCACATTTTTTTAAACTTACCTGATATGGTTGCTACCAGAACTAATGTCCCATTTTCCTTCCAGTGGATATCATCAATTCTTTCAAAAAAGCAGGCAGCTCCTTGATTACACCAGAAAGGGGCATCCATTTCAGGTCTGAGATGGGGAAATGTACAATTGCCAAGTTGGAAAAGTTCATACCATTCCATTGTGTAGTTCTTGCCAGTTAAGGTATTCCTGAATCCAATGGCATCATGCATAATTTTCTGGATAAAGATAATACACATATGAAAGCATCTATGAAGTAACTATGGGTCCAGGTAACCTGATGGGAGAAACTGGTACACTACAAATGCACATCGTGAAAAACAACTGTTCAACTGTTCCTCTTTTGTGTCACTATTCTTGTGTTCCTCTGTGGTCCCTCAAACTCCAGGCCCTCATCTACTTTGCTTTTGGCCTCTTACAATCTTAGGAGGGATACGTGCTATGTGGAACTATATGTCATTTTCTTACCCTTCGAAATAAGTACAAGAAGCCTGCATGCCACAGTTCTAGGAACACTCAGTATACCTCCCAGAGTTACATGGTGACCTAGAAAAGTGAGAAGAAGAAGTGTTGCCTGTCTGCCTTGCTTCTTATGTATGTTCTTCCTGCTCATTTTCCAAGAGCTGTGTGTAGCAGGTAGGTTCAGATTTGTAACATTAAAAGGTATTAAAGTAAATGCATTGGTTACTGTTGGGATTACAAAATCTGACCATGACTATTTTTCACTACTCATATTTAATATTCTAGGGGTAAATCAACAAATTTGATCTGAATACTAGCTCAAGTCAACTTAATAGCTAAATCATTTAATTAACTAGAGTTACAAGATTAAGATGCATCCTTACAAAATGTCCTAGAAGGTCTCCGTATTTAAATTCCCATACAGGGGTTTGTAGTCTAAAGACTTCAATGACATCATCATTCTTCATAACTGGGATCGGCGAGCCAGTGGGACAGAAAGTGTACTTAGCTTGACAGTAAGGATCTGGTTCTGGACGGAAGGAAAAGCGTCTAATAAAGAAAGAGAAGCCATCAGCTTAGATTCTAAGAGGAATTTGGTTTCACACACACTTTAGAATCCAGATTTTCATTTCACCATAACATTTTTAGGGAAAATATTCAAAGCTTAGACCATATAAGTGACTACATATAAACATACATTTTACTTATCCTGTGAACAAACTTTCAATGATACCTTTTTAAATTTTTTTTTGGTACTGGGGATTGAACTTAGGACCTTCTGCTTTCGAGGCAGGCGGCAAAACCACTGAGTTAAATCCCCAGCCCTCAATGATACCTTTAATGGCAAACAATAATATGGAAATATATTTTACATTTACTTAAGAATTAACTTTCATTCAACCAATATTTATTGAGAATCTACTACACGTAGGGCTAGACAGGAAGGAGAGAAAAATAAAAATTCTGGGAGCTGGGAAGACACTAAACATGCCTTGAGGTGCACTGGGGTAAAGTGGTAAACTAAGGAAATAGTGTCATACGGCACAAAGATGAGAGAAATCATTTCCTCCGATGAGGGATGGGTGGGGTTGGGAAGGCAAAGAAAGAGATGAAGATAAGCTTAGGTATGAAGTACTTGTAGAGAAGGGTAGGACAGAAAGGGTTATGAGACAAGTATGCACATCTGAGGTCTCCAGTGAGCTAGGGTTAGGGCAGGACTGGGGAGGGCTGAGCTACCCAGAGGCTGACGTCACTCGCCCTGAGGAATGTGAAGTGCGACCCTAGGGTGCTAGAGCTGGGCAGGGTTCAGCCCTGCAAGCTTGAAAGATTTAAAGCGGCAGATCTGATAGGATTGAATATGCTGAAAAGTAAACCCTATCTTGCAAAATAAGAGGTATGAAGGGGCCAAATTAAGGCTAAGAGATCAGTCAGGAGGTGACTGCATTAATGCAGACAAGAATAGACCAGAGAAGGACACAACCATTGGATAAGGGTGGTGGCTGGGGCCAAATTCAGCCCAACATGCACTGACTGGTTATCTTCTATCCTTGGCACTGGGAGAAAAGGAAGAATAAAAAAGAAGCAGCTTGTATCCTCTAAGACTCTTAAGATCTCCATGATGATAGTCAGATGTACTTTGTAACAATCTTACATCTGAACAAAAATTTCTATTTTAATTTAGCTACTTACCTGGTTTAAACAAATATATAATTATATGTGGGCTTCTTTTACCCACAGCACAATCCCTTTTAGGTCAAACATAATTTATGAAGCATAATTTAAGTATGAACTTAATACCGGTAAACATTATATGCAAATGAAGGAATTGAATGGGGGCATGGACTTAACTGCTGAAAACTGAAGAACAGTAATAAGTCATAGCCAATGACATAGTATGAGGCATAAATAAAATATTTTGGGTTTATAATCTCTTCTTGGTTTTGCTGGATATTACTTCTTTTCGAACATTTTAATATTTTCAAGACAAATCAGCTTCAACCCCAAACTTTTTTTTTTTTTTTTAAGAGTACTGGGGAATGAACATAGGGCCTCGAGCATGCTAAGCAAGAGTTCTAAGTGGCATTAAGCTACATCCACATCTCCCACCTCTATTGTAATTTTTATTTTGAGACAAGGCCTCTCTGTTGTCCAGGCTGGCTTGGAAATTACGACCCTCCCACTCAGCCTTCCAGCAGCTGGGATTACAGGCCTGCATTTCCAGACCTCTTTTCATATACATCAAGTATAAATATTCCATGAGCAGTATACATGAATATTTAGGTTTGACGACAGCTAGTATTTATTAGAGTTAATTCTGTACCCCCAAAAGGTGTTAACTACTATTTCTATTTTTTGACTCTGAACATGTGAGCAAAGGGTTACTGAGTAACTGTCCCATGATCTGACCCGGTTAGACCTGCAGCAGTAGGAATCCAGAATTTACTGACCGAAATACTCCTGCCTTGGAATTCATTATTCTGTCAAGCAAAACAGCTGTGTATATTCAAAAGCTTCTGGCCTTTTCCCCTGCCTGATGTCACCTGTGTTTAGCTACCTCCCATAGTGTTAGACTGGGTCAATACTCTTCTTGGTCAAAGACTGGAATGAAGCATCTGTAATCCCAGCACCCTGGGAGGATGAGGTAGGTCACTGTGAGTTTGAGCCCAGCCTGGGTAATTTAGGGACTCTCAAAAACAAAAACTTTAAAAGGGATAGGGATGTATCTTAGTGAGAAGGCCCTGGGTTCAATGCCCAGTACTTTTTAAAAAATCAGCTTCACAGGTTTGCAGCCCTGTCCTCGATTTATGACTAGTGTTCTATACCTCCAGGTTCAAGAAAGTGGACCAGAGATGGCCAACCTTCCCGTTGGCCCAAGAGGGAACTGGGACTTAGAAAACTAAAATTGGGAAGTTCACTGCAGAGTGGGGCAAGTTGATCACCCCATATATTAAATAATTATGCAGTGATGACTGCTGATAGTGCACGAAGTAAGTAATAAAACAATATCTAAAAAGCGCTCTAAACTACTCAAGGAGTCAGTTTCTTGTACCTAGAAGTCACTGGCGCAATAACCTACTCCCGTTTCGCCCACTATTCGGGACAGCTCCAGCGTCGGGGAGAGAGAAAAGCCCCAGCGCTGCGCGCCCAGAACCGCAGCGACTCCCGGGGGTCCACAGGGAGCTAACCAGAGAGTCTCCCGGGGTTCCCGAAGGCCGCCCCCGCCCCGGCCGTGCGCGCGCCCAGGGTCCGCGCGCCGCCGCACTCACTTGTAGGGCACGGGCCAGTGGCGCCGGGAGGGCCCGCCCGAGGCCCGAGGCCAGCCCGGAGTCGCCGCCAGCCAGAGCAGCAGCGTCAGGACCCAGCGCCGCGGCGCACCCCCCGCACCCCCCGGCACCGCACCCCCCTCCAGCACCATCCCTCAGGCGTGGTGCTTCCGGCGCGGCCGCGCGCGGCGACGCCGAGGCCCCTCCCGCGAGCCTGCGTGCACCCCGCCCGACTCGGAGGCCCCGCCCCTGCGCCGCAGCTGCGTGCGAGTCCCGGGCGCGCGATGACCGAAGGTGAGGGCGTTCCCTGCCGGCGCCCAAGTCTGCGAAGGGTCCCGTGTTCTCTCCTTCTCGCGCCCTGAGCCGACCGGGAAGGTCTCCGGAGCACTCTTAAGGGCCTTGGGGCCTCCTTTTTCCAGCACTGGCCTGTGATGTCTGTGCTTCTGGCTTCAGGTCTCAGCTCCTCTTCTGTGGAGTTTCTCGGATTACCGCCCAGTGACATCCACCAAAACAAAACTGACAGGAGTCTGCCTTCTGGCTTCTCTTCTGGATTCTCCAGCCCTGTCCAGGGCCCACAGGCCCAGACGAGGTGCCAGCAATATTTGAGTGAAGGACAGTCTGTGTAGGGGTGGTGGAGGCAGTGAGGAAGAGAGACCGGCTAGTAATGGGGTCGTGACTTGTTCTCACCTGCCCTGGGCCGGTGGAAATAGTGCTGAACACCCAAGCACTACTGAATCTGCCCTCCTGTGTTGGAGCTACCACTTTATTAGAAGATTCTATATTGCCTTCGTATCTTTGCCCCTTCAACCACTGCAAGAGAAGGATGGGATCAGCTGCCCTGCTTCTGATGAGACTCTCGTGGCCTGCCATGCTGCTTTACGCCTATGCTAATTTATTCGTAGGAACTGCTCCATAAAGGATTTGTCACAGAGTCATCTGTTTAACAAGAGAGCAGCCTGCAATGCTCTTAGACCAGAACTTCACAAGTCTTTCACGTGTGCATTGTAATATTTGTAAATATACTAGAAAAATCCTCTTGGTCAAAGTGACCAGAACTGAGTCGGTGGGCATATGTTGGGGGCTGAAGGGACACTGGCTTCTTAAAGTCTGACAGGCAACACGCAGACCCACACATGCGCACACACAGATTTGCCCACGTGCTGCACAACATTTGAGTTCTAGGGAGGTTCAAGCAGGACCTCCCCTTTTTTGGGGGTACCGGGGATCGAACTCGGTACCTTGCACTTGTGAGGTGGGCGGCGGAACCACTGAGCTAAATCCCCGGCCCAGGACTCCTTTTAACTTCCACTTTTTGTCTAAGCCTTTAGATGAGACATCTGTCTCCTCCACATAGTATTAGCCCCGTGTTTCAGAATGACCAGTGCTAAACTGGCTTCTCCAAAGACCCACCCAAGGTGAGAGGGGAAAGCATTCTAGCTATTAACAGCTGGAATGGAATGTGTGATTTAAAGAGAACTTCTGTGGGCCCACCCTTGAGTATGGTGTAGAAAGTACTCAAAGAAGAGAGCACCCTAAAGTCATTAGAGCATTTACAGTTAATGGAACCATGCATCAGGATACAGTGGAACTTCCATCCAAGTCAGAGCTACAAAAACAAGTTCAGATTGACCGTGACCAGTAGTGGGGGCCCTCTCTTGGGACTGCAGTCCCCACTCTGTCCAGGGAGCTGTCACAGTACGCGAATTTCCTCATGTGCGCCTCAACAGCCTTCGGCTAGCCCCATGTGATCTGGTCCAGTTCTGCCATCTGGGGCAACTTGGATTACACCTGTTTGTCTAGAGTCATTCTATATAATTTTTGGGAAAAATCATTTCATAATTAAAGTATGACAGGCTAAGGCCCAGTGTCACCTTGCCCGAGAGCTGCTATGGCATGTGTAAACAAGTCTGTTTTACCTGTGGTCACAAGCTGAGGCCTCAATGGTCCCATGATGGTGTGACACTCAAGGTAAAGATTACATCAGCAAAAGACATCCTGGTTCTTCAAGAACTGAGTAGTAATAAAAAAAGAGAGAGAGAGAAAGGTTTCACCTGAAGGAAGGACAACTTCCTTATTAGCTTTTTATCTTGTCCCACCTACTATTATAAGAATGTTCTCCTTACTGCCCTCATCAACATAAGATCCTCACCAATATAGGATTATTGCAGCCCTGTGAGTCACCTGATATTCCCTCCAATGATTGTGTGTACCCAATAAATAACAGCTGGCTAGCTCAGGGTGTCTTTGTCTTTGCCCACTCTGAGGCACTGACCTCCCAGCCCCCCATGTACTTTGAAATTACAAAAGCCTCTATTGTCCTTTTTTCTTTAACCTCACCAGTCCCCCTTTCTAGGCAGTTGGAGGATTGATCGCCTTCTGATACCTGTTCTTGCTGTGACTCCACATCCCAAGCCGCTGATGTTTGTAGATTATATTTGCCTGATTTTTCTTTGTACTAGGGAGTGTAAGCTAGTCAGTCACAAACTTTGATGGTGTTTTAGATATAAAGCTGAGTAAAATACTCAGCACTAGCACTTTTTTTTTTTTAATACCAGGAATGGAACTTAGGGCACTTGCCAGGCAGGCGCTATGCCCCTGTGCTACATCCCCAGACCTTTTTGTATTAGGTACCTTCCTCTAATCCATGGCTTTTAAACCCTGAGGCCAACAGATATAACTGAATTTTAAATCAACTGGTTTTCCTCATGCCTTTGCCCAGATGGCCTCAGATTACTAGGAACATTAGTGTAGTCTGAAAAAATCAAATTTATGAGGCCATTGCAATATGAGGTTCATTTAGAGAGGGTGGAGTTGAGATGAAATTGAAATGATCAATGTTGGCAGCTCAGAGCAAAGCAAAACTGTGTGTCACCGCACAGCCTACAGGCACTCTAGATTACATAGTGCACCCACAGTCCTCTTATAGGATGGAGGGCCCTAGAGGAGTTGTTTCCAGATTATTGGTATCTAGAAGAAATAATTGAGCAGAACACTCAGGAATAACAAGAGCAAGATTTATTAAAAGTGAAAGAAGCTAAACTGCTCCACAGGATAGGAACAGGCCAATAAGAATAGCTCACAGTCTTGAAAGGGGCAGGCACTGGGGTCACGGGAGGGTCTACAGTTGAAGGTTGACAAGAGTCATGGCCTTACAAGATACCTGCCTTACTTGGCCCACCCATTGGGAAGGGAACTTGACCATGCAAGGTTTGTAGAGGAAGTGTCATGGCCTCCAAAGCCCAGTGGGTGTAGGGGGATACCAGGGCGTGTCAAATCCCCAATGCAAATGAGATTTCCAGATTCATGTACTTTTGGTTTTGCTTATGCCTGGGAGTCTTGGAGCGACACGGTCCTGTCTGGCCTCTCATTTCTTGCCTCACAGCTGCTGTTGTTTATTTGTCCTTGTTCCACCTCCTACTTCAGTCCTATTTCCTTGGAATCTCTGATGTTAAAACAGACATGGAATTTCATATCCAGAGAATCCTCTATCAGAAACTTCACGTCTATCTGAGTTGTAAATTGAGGCTGTCTGAAGTTTTCCAGGCAGAGGTGGAATACTTCATTCTTGCAGATATAATTTCAAACAGGAAATTTCTCTATAATTTTAAGGAACAAAGTTTTAGAGTGAGTAACAAAGCAGGAGGATGTTATGACCCTTTATAATCTACTGTGGCTTGGAAGAAATATTATTTCTGGTAATTTTGTTTCCAGTTCCAGGGATTGAACCCAAGGCCTCAAACATGCTGGGCAAGTGCTCTGTCACTGAACTATGTCCTCAGCCATTTTTATTTTTATTTTGAGACGGGAATTGCTAAGTCAGCAGGCTAGGCTTGAACTTTAGATCTCTTATCTCAGCCTCCCAAATAGCTAGAATTATAGGTTTGTGGCTTTGTGCATGTTGTTTTTTGGTAATTTTAAGGCTGCTTCTGTCTTGTATTCCAGGATGATGAGTAGCAGGGAAGATTTTTAAAGTTTGAACTAATTTTTACTTTCTCATGTATGATTACATGGAAATTATAAACCATTATTCTGATAAAGGGGTTTACCAAATTGCCAAAAGAGTACATAAAACTCAAGGAAAGATAAGAGCCCCTGCCCTCAGCGCACTAATTTTCCACACTGATTTTAATGCAAGCGGTAAGGAATCAGAACTAGATTATCGTGCTTCTAGATTTCACTGTCATTTTCCTCCTTTTCTTTAATGCTAGTTATGGCTTCTATCTAAAATGTCCCCCAAAGTCTCATGTATTCAGGTAGGTCTTTCATAAGGTCACTGGATTATGAGTACTCTATCAGCAGATTAATCCGTTATTGGGATCATAAGCGTTATTGGGAGGTAATGGAAATTTAGGAGGTGAAGGAAGGCATAGATGAAGAAAGTGAGTCATGGGAGGTATGGTCATTGGGACTATATCTGATCTTTGGCCCCTTTTTTCTGGCTCTCGCTTTGCTCTCTCTTTATGGCTCCTACGAGGTGAGCAGCTTCCCTCGGCCACACCCTTATGCCATGATGTTTTTGTCTCACCACAGGCTTAAAAACCACAGAACCAAGTGACCATGCATGGAAGCCCCTGAAACCGTGAGCAAAAACAAATTTGCTTCCTGTTAGTTGTTTTGCTCAGGTATTTGGTTGCAGCAACAAAAATCCTGACTAACAACAATGGTGCCCATGGATACAAGCAGCTGCTTATGTGCATGTCACATATATTTCCTCTTTCCAAATCTGGGCATCACTGACTGTTTTAGGTCATGTAAATATCTCACATATATGAGTTATGACACGTATTCTACTTCCAGGCTAAAGGTAGCTTTCTTCTTAAAAGCAGATACAGGTCTGCATTCAGCATGGGCACATGAGGGCTTAGTGAATTTTTGCTGGAGGAAGACGGAGCTAATAATTTTGTTTTTTTGTTTTGTTTTTTGATACCGGGGACCGAACTCGGGTCCTTGTGCTTGCGCAGCAGGTGACGAAATCACTGAGCTAAATCCCCGGCCCCGGAGCTAATAATTTTAAGATTCAGTAGAGTAAATAGAGATTTATTTCCTGGAGTTTAAAGATTTCATTCTTTAATGATGCAAGAATAAATGTCTTTCAAATATCTTATGAATATATGAGGTTATGCAGAGGAAACTCAGGGAGCATCCTAGCAGAACAATGTAACCGTATTCTTTGCTATTTTTTCCTGTGA